ATAATCATTTTTGGCCCTGACTGGTTTGGCCCAGTGGATAGAGCATCGGCCTGAGGACTGAGGGGTCCCAGGTTCGATTCAGGTCAAGGGCATGTACCTTGGTTGTGGGCACATCCCCAGTGGGAGGCATGTAGGAGGCGGCTGATCGATGTTTCTCTCTCATTGATGTTTCTGACTCTCTATCCCTCTCCCTTCCTCTCTGTAAAAAAATCAATAAAATATATTTAAAAAAAAAATCATTTTGGGCTTCACAGGCCACACTGTCGCTGTTGCAACCACTCACTTTTGCCAGTTGGAGATGACGCCCTGACAAAGCCTTACCTCTCTGACCTCACTTCTCCCTTCCTTGTGCGGAGAAGAGGGTGGGAGGTAGGGGGTGAAGAGAGAGGGGTAGGGGGTGGGGAGAGGGGGGTCTGTGAAGATTGGGGGCGGTATCAGTGGCCTGGGGCTACTAGAACAAATCGCCACCAGCAGGCGGGCTTACAACAGCAGAATGTTGCTCTCTCACGGTTCTGGGGCCCAGGGTTGAGATCAAGCTGGCTGTGGGGCCGGGCTCCCTCTCAAGGCTCTCAGGGGGTCCCTCCTGCCTCTTCCAGCCTCCGGGGCTGCTTGTGGCCGCATCAGTCCAACCTCTGCCTCTGTCTTCTTTCTCTTCCTCCTCTGTCCGTCTCAGATCTCTCTCTGCCTTTCCGTCTTAGGGACCATTGTCACTGGATTTAGGGTTCACTGGGATAATCCAGAATGATCTCTTCATTTTAGGATCCTTCAATTAATTACCCTTGTAAAGACCCTTTGTCCAAATAGGTTAATGTGCACAGGTTCCTGGGATTAGGACGTGGACATAACTGTTTGGGGGCCACTGTTCAACCCACTGCAGGTGTCTTTAAAGCGTTTAAAAGGGGAATCAAACCTGAATGTGGACTCCTTAATCTGCATTGAGAACAACACTGCCAGATGGGCCAGACTTCCAGGGCCTTCTCCCCCCGGATGTGAGTTATGTGACAGGCCACCTGATCACGAGGGGGAAGCTCAGGGCTACAAACTCCGGGCTGATGGCAACCCTGGGAAGGAGAAGAGCACGTGTGTGTGTGTGTGTGTGTGTGTGAGTGTGTGTGTGTGAGAGTGTGTGTGTGAGTGTGTGTGTGTGTGGGGGGGGTGCCTACCCCGAGTGCGTGCCTGGCACACCCAACCTCAGGTCAGTCATTTTTTCAAATCTCTTGTCTGAGTTTCCCATCAGCACCCAGAAAGAAGCCGGGCAGATACCATCATTCCCATTTTATACACGAGGAAACTGAGGCTCAGGGGGGAAGTCTAGCCCGTGTCCCTCACACCCCGCCATCTCCATGGAAACCATGGCCCGCTACCAACAAAGCTCCCAGAGAGATCCCGAATCCAGTCCACGCCCTGGCGGCCGCCTTCCCTCGCCGGCTCCCGGCGCAGGTTGCTAGGAGCTGGTGCTGCTGCAGGGGCCAGGCCCGTGGGGGCCCAGGGGTGGGTTGGTGTGTGGACAACCCCTCTGCCCTCCTCCACCGAGCTGCCCTGTGGAGGGTGCTCGTAGTTCAGAGATGCTGGGAGCCCAAGGCACACCTCTGCCCACAGGCCAGGCCGGGCCGGGCGGGAGGGCTCTCGTGCCCAGAATAACTGTCCGGAGTCAGCATGTTCCAGCCGGGAGGCAAACCCAAGAGGCACTTTCCCCAAGTGTCACGGGGCAGAGGTGGCACCCTCAGATGGGCCCTAAAAGGACCCTCATGGAGCCCCTGTCCCCGCAAATGATTCCACCCGCCAGCTGCTGAGCCCCGTCACCTCGCTGAGACGCAGCCTGCCTCTGAGGAATGAGTCGAGGGTGTGCATTTCCAAACGGGGCCGGAGAAAAGCTTGGTGGCCTGAGGAGGTGACAACAGCCTTCCGGGGAAGTGGGAGCTTAGCACAGTCTCCGGTTGCTCTGACATCAGCGAAGAGTCTAAAAATCACTGTCCTTGTGGTGTCAGAATGAACAGTGACTAGCTCTCATTTGTGCTCCGCAAGTGACTTTCTCAAAGTTCTGAGCGGAGTCAGGCCAGCTGGGATCATGGTCTGATGCCTGGGGACCTGGGGCACAGTCCTTCCCGCTCGGGGGTCGCTGGTGGTCCCTCCACAGTGGACATCACAAGGGTTGGCACAGGAAACTCCGGGAGCTGCTGCCGGCCTCTGTCATCCCCTGACTTAAATGGCCTCTTCTCTATTTACTGGATTCTCCCATTCTGAGCTTTCGAGCTGGCCGTCTCTCTCTCTGAGAATAGAGTCTCAGTATCTGTTTTTTATATTCTTGGTTCATTTTGCTTTTAATCATCTGCATAACTGAGTGCAGGGTCTTCAGCTTCTCAGATTTAGAGCCTTGACTTGCTTGAACTTTGGCCCAGCTGTGTAATGGGTCCGCTAGCAGAGCTCCCATGGGCTCCCTGGCCCCCCTTCCCCTCATCCCCACAACCAGTGCCCTTCCCCAGTCCCATGTGCTCTTCCTAAAGCACAACTCCTGAACCCAACTCCTTCTGGCCATTCCTGAGCTTTCTCAACTCCCACGCCACCAGTCCAGAACGCCATCTCGCCTGGCTGTTACCATGGTAACCATTTACTGACCAGTCACCTGCATCCCCTCTTTCCTCCTGGGAGCCTTGTCCCCCCCACCCCCCTCAGCAGCCAGAGTGCTCCTTTGATAAATGTAAGTCAGGTCATTTCACTTCATTCATTCATTCAACAAACATTTATTGAGCATCTACTGTGTGCTGGGCCTTGGTCTAGGCTCAGGGGATACACAGGGACCAAAACAAATGAAAGTCTCTGTTCTCCTGGAGCTTCCGTTCCCATGGAGGGAAGAAAGTTAAGAGTTTGTCAGATGTCAGTCAGTGCAAAGGGGAAAAGTAAAGGCGAGAAATGAGCAGGCAGGGCTGGGAGGGTGGGTGTAGGAGGAGCCTGGTTTGCAATTTTCAAAGGGGCTTAGGGAAGACCTGGCTGAGGAAATGAAGATGCAAAGAAGTGAACCATGCGGATAACTAGGGATAAGAGAGACCAGAAGAGAGGCCAGCAAGTGCAAAGGCCCTGAGGCAGGAATGCGCCTGGTGTGTTGGAGGACCAGCCAGGAGGCCACAGAGTCTGGAACAGGGTGAGGGAGAGCAAGGAGGGTGCATAAGAAGGCTGGAGAGATAAAGGGAGAGGTATGGCCAGATCAGGCCCAGTAGGTGCCATAAGGCTTTTTGACTTCTATTCTGACTGATACAGGAGCTTTAGAAAGTTCTTGAGCAGAGGAGGGATGTGATGTGACTTGTTTTAACCTGCTCACTGTGGCTGCTGTGAGATTAGACTGAGGGGGTCAAGGTGGGAAGCAGGACACCCATAGGGGTGGTGAGAGTGGAGGTGGGAGAAGAGCAGGGAGTCTGCATCTGTTTTGAAAGTAGAGCTAACAGGATGTGCTACTGAGATTGGGCATAGAGTGTGAGAGAAATCGGCAAGGATTTTATTGCTTAAACTAGAGGCCTGATGCATGAAATTCGTGCAAGAGTAGGCCTTCACAGCCCCAACAGCCTAGACGCTGGCAGCCATGGCTTCTCCCGGAAGGCCGTCTGGGAAGTTGTCCTGATGGTCATTCCGTTGTTTGGACGTTCAGTCGATTTGCATATTACGCTTTTATTATTATAGATGCCTACAATGGCTCCCCATTCCTCTTTGGATACTTCTCAATTCCTTATCCAGTTCTGATCCACACTGGCCCAGCTGGCTGTTCCTACTGCACCATTTGCCGGTGCCCACTGCTTTGTCAATGTTCGCACCTCCCAAGTCAGAATTCCCCAGACATTGCAGCTCAATAATCTTCATTTTTCATGGAATTCCTCACAGTCTGTTAATAGTGTTTTGGGGCTTTTTGTTTGTTTTAAATTGATCTGTCTTCTTGATTTTGCTTGTCTCCCTCCCTAGAATATAAACTCCATAGGACAGAGACATTCTGCCTAGCTTTGTAAAGTTGTCACAAATACAGGAAGAATGCTGGCATCTTGAGCACAGGTTGTGATAGTTCATGCTCACCTGCAGGGCACTGCTGGCCCTATTCTGTAAGGAAGGAAAGCGCTGGGGGAAGGTTATATTTAGACCTGCCCAAGGGCACAGCTGGTTCTGGAGCCAGAGTTTGAATTGGGGCCTTCGGGTTCCAGAGCTAGTGCCATGGCCCTCCCAGCCCCTCCTGTCCCCTGAGGGTCCAGGCAGAGCTCCATGGTCAGGTGGGGACAGAGCCAGGGAGATAGGGGAGGTCAGTGCCTGCTGGTTGAATGAGCCAAAGGCGGGGTCTGCCGCCCCAGGGCCTTTCTCACTCAGCCTGCCTGGAAGCTGTTGGGAAGACCAGCATGTCTGCGTTCAGTCTCTGTAGCATAACGCATGTAGAGGGCATTTAGTTAAAAAATAAAACCTCAAGCCCACTCCAATCGCAGCCCGTGCAGCTCCTGCCTCTCTCCATCAGCTACTTCTGTTACTCGGTGCTCTGCCCTCCTGGGCGCCCTCACCAGTGCGAACAGGTGGGGGCTGCCGCGGTGGCTGCCGTCGCGGGAAAGCGCACAGACCTTGTTCCGGGAGCCCCTGGCTCACAGCCCCCAAACTGCCTCCCCGTGGGCCTCGGACAACACCCCTCCCCACGCCCCGCCCCCGGGCCTCAGTTTACCGATGGGTAAAGGCCGGGTCTGTGCAACCCTACAGGTGACACACCTGCTTCCGGGACTTGATGGGCCCCCGGCCCCCACGGGGTGGGAGCCCGGAGTCCAACCCGCGCCCCGTGGAGCCCCGGCGACTCCAGAGGAGGCGGGGGGCGCGGGGAGGCCGGCGGGGACGGCGCGCAGCGGCAGCCTCGCCGCAGGCCGGCTCCGGGGGGCGCCCGCAGGAGGGCGCGGCCAGCGCGGGGGGCGCGGGCGGGCGGCGGCGGCAGCGGCGGGGGGCGGAGACGCGGCGCGGCTTCCGCTCCCGCTCCTCCTCCCTCCTCCCCCGTCGTCCTGGTCCGCGGCGCCCGAGGGGGAGGCGGCAGGCGCCGGGAGCCGCGCGAGGAGCTGCCGCGCCGCGCCATGGAGCCTGAGTGAGCGCGGCGCGGGCCCGCCGGCCCCGGACAACATGGAGGCGGCGCCGCCCCGGCCGCCGCCGCCGCCGCCGCTGCTGCTGCTCGCGCTGTGCTGCAGCCTGGCCCCCGCCGCGGGTAGGTGGGCGCGGGCCGCGGGGACAATGGCCCGGGAGCCCAGGCGTCTCGGGCGGCCCACGGCCAAGTGCGCGGCGCGCGGTAGCGACTTTGCAAGTTGGGGACGAGTTGGGGCGCGCGCCGCGGGTCCCCGCCGCCCCCCGTCGGCCCCCGCCGCCCGGGTGCCGCGCGCGGCCCTTTGTCTCCACCGTCCGGGCCCCTCCGGGGACGCAGGGCCCGGTCCGGAGCGTCCTGGGGCGGCGAGCGGGGCGCGCGGGCGGCGCCGTCCCTGCCAGGTGCGGCGCGGGCGGGCCCTCACCTGCCCGGGCCCCGGCGCGCTCGGCAGTGCGCCCGCGTGGAGCCGGCGGGCGAGGCCGCGCTGGGACCCGGGGACCCCGGCCCCGCGGGCAGGCGCCGAGCGAGGACTTTCGGCCCGAGACGGGCCTGGCCGCCCCGCGCCGGGAACTCTGGCGAGCCTGCTTCCGATGGCCGCGCGGCCGGCCTGCGAGCTCCGAGAACTGATTTAAGTTGCAGAGAAAGTTCTGAGACCCGCGCGGGCGGCCTGGCCTGTGGCGCTGGCTTTTCACCGGTGTGGCTGTCGGTTTTCTAACCGACTGACACCTGCCAGGTGCCGCAAGGACCCGTCTGGCCGCGGGGGCCCCAAACGGTGGCCTCCGAGGGGCCGGCTGCGTGGGGCCGCCGCGGAGGACGGGGGTCCAGGGCGCGGCGTGGCGGGGCCGCGAGCTCGAGCGTCGGTTGTGCACACCCTTGGGGAGACCGAGGGCTGGGAATGTTCTGCAACTTTTGGTGTGTCCCAAGGGGTGGAGTTGAGGTCAGGAGGGCTTAGGAAACCTAAGCGCCTCTGAAACGCTACACATGTTCTTTTAATTTGGAGATTGCCATGTGGTTTTTGAAGCAAGTCTCTCGCTACCTAAATCATTATCCTCAGACGTGAGTGTTGTTTGTCTGGAGTGTGGCAGGGCCGGTGGACATGGCCAGCGAGGCCCGTGCTATGGGGGCTGCTGTTTTGCTGGTGGCGGTTTTTTTTTGGGGGGGGGAACCTTGGGTTCCTTTGTCTGGGCCTCTTTAAGGCAAACAGCTGTCTCCCTGAATATTTCCAGGGTGGACATTGCAGGGAGGTGTCCTGGCCTGGCTCTGTGGTCACGTTCCCAGTGCTGCGGCCCCCTACATTGAGGTTTGGGGGGACCGAGAAGCATGGTTTCCTCAAGTCCTCCTGCCCCCCCCAGTCCAAGCCTAGAGACTGTTGGCGGTTTCACCCCAACTTGGTCTCTCTCAGGAGTGTTTTTACATTTCTCGGCCGTGTCCGATCCTAGCAAAACAAGGTGACGACCAAACAATGACAGTATCTGGGGAGTTGAGGCCAACGTGCTCCTTTTCTTTCCGGAAATGCCTGGATCACGGAGGCAAACGGATTTTTGGGGGAAGATGTTTGTTTTAAAGGTGGGGTTTCTCAGCCGGCTCTGTTGCTTTGCACTTCGTTGCAGTTTTGGATTTCCTGTAGCTTTTGGGGTGACGTTGCCAGAGGCGAATGCCTGCCGTTGTGCAGTTCAAGCCCCCAAGGAGAAGAATCCCATCTGTGGAGCTCAGTTGTATGTGAGGCAGAAATAGAGTTGATTATTTTACCATTAGGAAGTATATGAGCCTGAGGTTCTCAGAGCACGGCCGGCGGGGTGACCCGGCCTAAAATGGAAGGACCAGGCGGCATTTGCAGAGCGCTGGGACTGCTCTCGATGGGCCATGTCCCTGATTCCTGGGCTCGACTTATGCCTCCGTCCAGACTGAAGCCAGTAAGTTGGTAGCTAATTATTTTTCCTGATTGCTTCCTGTTGCAATTTGAAGCTCTGAGCCCACTGAAGTGCCTTTGTTCTCGAGGTTCCCTTGCTGGGAACGGCCCAAGGCTGCTCCCCTTTGGCCCCACAGCACTCACTCCAGGCCCCGCCTGTCCAGGATCCCCCAGGGAGGTTACTGCAGATGCCCAGGGCCTGGCCACTGGGCCCCCCCCCCCCCCCCCCCCCCGGCTAGTGGGTGTTAACTAGATGGTGTGTGGAGTCCACTGAGACAATCTTCCCAGCAAACGTCCTTTCCAGAGCAGGGCCCGCGTGCCTGTCACCCTCCCGTTTGGATCCAAGAATGTACCCAGTCCATCCATATGGTCCAACACTTGCTGTGGAGATCCTGTCCTATTTGGAACCCGTCTAATTTCAGCCGCACTGTCTCACTGCTCAGGCATGTAGCAGAGTTTGCACACTGGCTGGGGAGGGGGGTACAGTCAGGTGAGGACTCAGCATGCAGGACTCGTGCTGGCCGCGGCGGCTCGCCAGGGCTGAGCAGGGGCCTGGCGTCAGACCCACCTGGTGTATGTGCTCAGCAGCTGGTTGACTTTGGACGACTTATTTAGCTTCTGTGTGTTCAGTGTCTTCATCTGGTGCCCCCCCCTCCCCCCGCCCGATGCTGGGCGTTTGGGAGCATTACGTGCCATATGTGAAACTCCTAGCGCCATCCCTGCCCCACATGAGGGCTGGTGGTGGCAGAGCCGCAGGCAGTGCCTGTTGTGTAACAGGGGCCTTGATCTTGCCTGAAAGGTTTGGAAGTTGTTGTTACACACTCTGGATGTTTCCTCTGTGTGTGACCTTGGATATCTTGTCTGCTGTCTGACTTGTTTATCGCTGACATTAAGTGGGGTGCCTTGGAGTGGTTAATAGCAAGGGCATGGACCCTGAGTGGTCCAGAGTCTTGCTAATTGCTTTTGGGGGGTTGAGGGAGAGCTTTGTGTGACTCGGTTTTGCCTTCTGTAAAATGGGCATAATAATACTTCCTACCACGGATTCAGTGGAACAGCAGCCTGGCATTGGATCAGCTTCTGCTGTGGTTGGTGTTACTCTGGGGCATTTGTGTGAAGGGTTGGGATAGAATAGGATAGAAAGGCGGTGAGGCCCAGTCTTTGCTGCCGGCTGTTCCTGACTGTGGAGCTAGGAGAGACCTGGGCCTGGGGCCTCACCCTCACGGACCAGAGGTTCTCCACTGAGAGAGGCTGGATCCCACGGCAGAGTCTGGATGTGTGCCAGAAGGCGATGGAAGCTTCCGGAAGGCTTTGCTCAGGGGGGGATAGGAAACACAGGCTGGAGTCAGATCTGTTCTAGGTGAAAGGTGCTGAATTGATCTTTTTTTTTTTTCAAGTTGAGATGAAGTACACATAAAAGTAATTTTTTTAAAGTGCACAATTTGGAGGCATCCTAATATATAAAAAGCCAGGGGCCATCACGACTGAAACAACCGGACCGACAGCCGAACAGCAGGCTTCTTGCGGCCACAAGGCCGGCAAGCGGGCTGGTGAGGGACGACCAACAACTGAACAGCAGGCTGCGTGGGGCGACCAGGCCGGCGGGGGGCGGGGGGGGGGACGGGACAGTTGGGGGTGACCAGGCCGGCGGGGGGGGGGCAGTTGGGGGTGACCAGGCCAGCGGGGGGGGGACAGTTGGGGGCGACCAGGCCAGCAGCGGGGGGCAGTTGGGGGTGACCAGGTTGGCAGGAGGGGCAGTTAGGGGTGATCAGGCCGGCAGCGGGGGGCAGTTGGGGGTGACCAGGCTGGCAGCGGGGGGCAGTTGGGGGTGACCAGGTTGGCAGGAGGGGCAGTTAGGGGTGATCAGGCAGGCAGGCAGATGAGCAGTTAGGAGCCAGCCATCTTGGATTGTGAGAGGGATGGCCGACTGCCAGTTTAGGCTGACATCCTGGGGATCAGGCCTAAACTGGCAGTTGGACATCCCATGAGGGGTCCCGGATTGGAGAGGGGGCAGGCTGGGGTGAGGCCCCCCCCCCCCCCGCAGGAATTTTGTGCACTGGGCCTCTAGTTGCCTGCCCTGGACTTTTCGTGTCCATGGGATCATATGGTGTGGTCTTTCTTGCCGGCTTTTCCTCTTTGGTGTCAGGGTTTCGAGGTTCGGCCACATGGTAGCACATGTCAGCGCCTCATTCCTTTTCACGGCCAAGCGATCGCCCATTGTGTGGGCAGAGCACATCTTGCTGTTCCTCGCCTGCCGGCAGGTTGATCTTGTTGGGTGTGGGCTGGGGGCCGTGGTGTGGGCTGGAGGCCCTGGTGTCCCCCTGGGGCTGGGACGGTGAAAGCTGTTTTAAGCTGGGCCAGGACCTGGGCAGATTAGCCCTTAGATCCTCCTGCCTTGATTCAGAGACGTGACAGCTGATGGTGAAGGGAGCCGAGGGGACAAGCTGAGGGCCGGTGCTGGCCTCCAGGGAGGGTCTCTGGTCAGTGAGACAGGAGCCCTGGGAGAAACTGGGCCTCTGAGGGCTCTCCCACGGCCACTAATGCCCTCAAAATGGGAGGCTCTGGTGGGAGCGAGGGGCTCTGTCCAGCCCTCACCTCGGGGCCTGTTGACACGTGGGCTCAGACAGTGGTGTTGTGTCTGCTGGAGACGGGTCCCGTGGGGCGTCCTGGGGACAGCGCAGTCCCAGTGCTGACACGCGGAGGCAGCTGCTTCGCACAGGGAGCGGCCCAGGGTCCCGCCTCCGGGCCTGGCTGCTCGCTGCTTTCCCTTCAGTTTTAGAAAGTCCTTTGCTCGCTGTCAGCTTTGGTTTCCTCACTTGCAAAGTGGGGACCCTGGCTCTGCCTTGCAGGGCCCTGGCGGGGTTCAGGGAGCCAGTGTCAGGAGGTAGCGGGAAGCTGTTTCCTCAAGACAGGCCACTCGGGGAAGGATTTGAGAGCCCTGCCCAGGCCTCCGGATTTCCTTTCAGAAGTGCCCCAGGAGTCCAGGCCCTAACACCCTTGCCCAGCTGGGGGCCCGGAGGTAGCGAAAGATGATGGGGGTCTGTTTCTGGTGCCGGTTTGCCCCTGAGGGGTGGCTGGCAGCTCCAGTCCAGGCCTAAGCACAGCTGGGAGCAGACCTGGCTGTTGGTCCTTGCCCTGGTAAGTGGGGGACTCCGTGCCCCTAAGCTATGTGGGGTGTGTGCCAACCAGGGCACATCCTTGCCCACATCAGTTCTGCCTG